GGGGGGGGGGGGGAGAGGCCCCACCCACATCCCTCCTCGCTGGGAGGGCTGCATGTTAGACCGTTAGCCTAGCAGCCAGCAGCCACTGGGGAAAAACCTCCCCAACACATTTTTTTCAAAGACAAATTGGTTTCTTAAGCGCTTCCTACTTCTGCTTCCTGACAGCATAAGCAGATGTTCATCACAGCATGGTGGGCACGGAGCAGCCCTGCTTAGGGGACACAGTGACACTTTGCTTGTACACGGTGTTCAGATCTCTCACATGGGCCTCTGGCCTAGCCAGGGCTACTGGGCACAAGAGGATGGGCATGAAGCTCTTCGGTAGTGGCAGGCCTGAGACAACCAGGCACACAGCTCTGCCTGGGAGGCAGAGGGCAGGACCCCTGCTCCGGGCTCTGGACCGCCAGGGGAAGGCAGCACCCCGCAGGGCCTTGTGTGGTGGGCAGTGCCGCTGTGGCTCTTGAAACACCAGCAAGACAGTCCCCGTTGGCACAAGGTCAGAGCCACGAAATTCTACCACCTGAAGCCAGGAAACCCGGAGTTTCCACTGATCGCACTGCCCAGCAGTGTGGCTGCAACCCTGCACACACGTGTGCACACACGCACTCTCATACCGTCCCTAGTGCCGGGGCCTGGACAGGCAGCGCCAGTCTCAGCAGCTGTTGCTGAACCACAAGGACAGATGCTCATCTGCAGCCTTGCTGGCACTCTGATCGCTCATGTTCTAACAGCAAACCCACTGCGCGAGTCCCCAGGTGAAGAAGTGACACAACTCTCAACAGTTCTCGGTTTATTAAAAATGGTCCTACAGCTTACAGCCACGGCGCCAGATGAGGCCGGCGATGGCAAGTGCGGCCAGCCTGGCGGCTCCTTCGCAGCATCGCACCAAGCTCGCATTTGGCTGTGGCTGTGCGGCTGGACACGCCCGACACCGCGGGCAGGCAGCAGAGGTATCCGGGAGGGGCACCACTCGCTCGAGAGCCACAGAGCATGGCAAGCCCACCTGACTGGCAAGGCAGTGAATCGTCCTGCAGCTTTGTTTCTTTACAAAACAATGAACAGTGCAGTAGAGTTCAAGTCCAGGAAAAGGAGCGGAGGGAGTGGAGGCAAAGGCAGGCAGCCCTGCCCGACAGGTGATGGGGCAAGGGCAGGGTGAGGTCCACCAATGGCACATGGGCTGTTCTGCCAACAGGTGCCACGCTGCCCGGGGGGCCTGGAGTCTGCACACGTGGCACAAGTGGACGAGGAGTGAGGGAGGGCAGGGTGTGGCGTCCCCAGGAAGGCGTTCACAGCCCCCTGCCCCTGCCCGCACCAGGAGCTCCACCCGCCCTGGGGCACATCCCAGCCGGCCCCTCCCCCACCTGTTTCTAGGCCAGGGCCTTTGGGGTCACAGCTGTGGGCCCGCCCGGCCTGCAGCCACACGGCACCCACGGCAGGCACCTTGCAGGCCTCGGCCCTGGCACCAGGTAAAGGTAAGGCACAGCACGGGCACCCGCATCGTACGGAAGGAGACTGCATTTGCTTCATCTGCATCGCAAACTGCTCAAAACAGTATTTGCATTTTTAAAAAGTTTCCCTGAATGGTCTTGTGTCAAAAGTTTTCTTTCCCAATATAAAACAGGAAAATTGGACATGTAGTAAAAATACTGGGGGAGTGTTTCCTCACAGAACCCTCAGGGGCTGACTGGCTCACAGGAGGAGCTGGGACCAGGCTGGGAAAGCCGGCTCTGGCTCCTCAGGGCCTCTGGACAGCAGTGGCCCCGGGGTGGGTGGCGCCCATGGCTTTGAGGCATGAGGAGCAGCCCGGTTGGGGGAGGGGCTGCGTGACTCACAATCGCGGCCCGATGCTCGGGCAGCTGGCAGCTGGCATGGTGGCCCGGCCACGAGCACCTCCCAGGGTGAGACACAGCACTGGCTTGAAAATAACAAAACAGATACAATTAGCCATGCTTATTAAATAAAGTTGCAGCGGGAGGACCAAGATTCTAGCTGGGAGTGGCAGAGGTTTTCTCTTCCCAAATGCATGAGTCCGTCAACCCTAGATACTTAGAAATCACGCACGCCTCGCAAACCTCCGTGACGCACAGGCGGCCAGGCTGCGGCCCAGCAACCCTGGGGCCTCGGGTGATAACCTGGGTCTCTACTTCTACCTACCACGGACCTACAGCTCTAAGTCAGATGGACGCTGGCCCAGGAGCCAGGCCCTGCCCGCGGCCGGACCGGCAGTCTGCACATGCAGAAGCGGCGTGGCGGGCCGAGGCGTCTCAGGAGGACAGCGCCGGTGCTCACTGCAGGATGAAGCCCGGCTGGTGCGGAGACAGCCTCGGCGGGGGCCTCTGGGGCAGAGCCGGTGGGTAAGGAGACACCAGCTGCGCTGAGAATCCCTGAGGAGGGGGCAGGCCCACGCGGGGCGGCAGGGGCGGGCACTGCGACGCGGGGTATGGCAGGGCCTGTCCGGAGCCCATGGCAGCCGTGAAGGGGGTGGCCAAACGTCCTGTAGGCACTGGGGGCGGCGGTGGGGCGATGCGCCGAGGAACGACAGAGGGGGGCCCGCCGGCCTCCAGGGCAGGGTAGGGCAGCGAGGCAGCGGGCACGGGCTCAGGCACCCTGGGTGGCAGCGGGCCTGGGGCCTGTGGAAGTCTCTGGCCCTTGAACACCATCTCCTGGAGCTTCTCCACCTTCACCCGCCGCATGTGGGCCAGCTTCCGCTTGCTCTGGTAGACGTCAATGAAGGCGTCCAGGGGGAGCTCGCCATCCAGGAACTTCTCGGCCATGTTCTGAGCGAGGCAGCAGAAACCCAGTTACTGACAGCGCCCTCCACCGGCCAGGAAGCCTCCTTCCAGCGCCCCCTTCTGGAAATGCCCCTCGGGTGTTCAGCTCGGCAGAGCCCGGAGTGCAACTAGCTTGTGCTGAGGGCAGCAGAGGCCATCCCCAGGTAGAGCCACGGGAGGAGGTAGGTGGCCATGCTGTGGGTCGCTCTCCAGAACCACAGCCTCAGACCGCTGGCCTGGCAGGACCCAGCCTTACAAGGAAGGGTGGCCCGGAGCTGTGACCACTGCCCCGTGCCTGGCCGTCACAGCTTAGCAGCCGGAGCCCACACTCCTGGCTCTCCCCGAGCTGCACCCTAACCACAGACCTGCCCTCGCCAGGGTTGGAACAACCTTGCTGTGCCTGCCTGGGCCCCACCAGCACCCACTGGTTACAGAGCAATGCAAACCCTGGCACACGCTGCCAGCCCTAACTCGTCCCTTCATGCCCCAAGAGGCTCGCTGAGCATTCGCTGGCCATGTCCAAAGGCTCTGTGACCACCAGCTGCCTCACAGCCACAGGAGATGGCAGCTCGGCCCCGGCATCCAGGCACCCGGCGCTGACTCAGTGCAGCTCTTGGCCTCCCGGAGGTGGCCTGTGGTCCCCAACTCCTGCCTGGCCCTCTCCCCAGCCCAGGCCAGACCCTACACCCACAGCCCCACGCATGTGGGCTCCCTGGCCTGCTGACTGCCCAGAGGGACCCGAAACCTGGAAAGGCCCTGGGCCTCCCACTGAGGCTGGCTGGCCGTACCTCAGTGTCCTCCTCGATCTTGGCCCCTTCTGCCTGAAGAAGCGCCAGGAGGGTCTCCAAGGAGGCGCTGTTCGACTGCTTATCTGGAAGAACCAGGAGCACGCGATGGGGCTGCACCCCGCACAGACGCCTTCCCATGCCCCAAAAAGGCCAGGAGTCACATCCGCCCAGGGCTGCCTTTAAATCCACCACCAGAGCAGATGTGCAGAGCAAGCACGCAGGAGACCCAGGCCCAGCATCGCGCATCACAACACCCGGGGGTCACCATCTGTCCCATGGAGCAGGCTGTCTCACACACGTGACAGGAACACTGTCACACAGCTGTGCATTCCCCCATCTGAGTGGCAGCTCAATCATGCACACACATCTGAAGCATCCCACGTTCTTACAAGCGCGTAAAGCCCCAGCCCCAGCAAGGTCAAGAGAGGATGTTTCCAGGGCTCCCTCATGTCCACCCCCAGGTGCCCCGATGCCACTGCCATCGGTGAGGCCCACCCAGCTCTGCAGCCACACTGCCTGCTCTGTCCGGCTTCTCTCACTCGACAGCGCTTGGACCTTACTCATTCTGCCTGGTGCTGCGCCCATCTCTGTGTACTAGCAAACATCACAGCCTGCTTACCCATCATTCTACAGATGGCGGTCTCCAAAATTAGCTATCACAGATAAGCTGCAGCACGCATTTGGGTTTCCGTGTGTTTGAGACAGGGTCTCACTGTGTAGTTCAGGTTGACCTTGAACTCAACATCTTGCCTCAGACTCCCGAGTGCTGACATCACAGGTGTGCGCCTCCACACCCCACACACATTTTGTTTTGTTTTGCAGTACTAGGGATTAAACCCAGGGCCTGCACACTGAGTGCTACATCCTCAGCACTGTTAAATTCTGAGACAAGGCCTCAGTGAGTCACAAATTACCCAGGCTGGGCTTGAATTTGCAATCCTCCGTCTCAGCCTCCGTAGTGCTGGGATTACAGGTGTGTACCACCACGCCCAACTCACATATTTTTGTTCTTATATTCTGATAAAACACAAACATCCATTTCTGTGGGGTAGATGTCCAAATACAGAACTGCGAATCACAGGGCATATACAATCACTTTACTAGGCATCACCAATTTCTATTCCTGCCAGTAGTGGATGTTTGTACATCCTCACCTGCACATTGCCAGTCCCTCCCTCTTCTCCTGCTTGGGTCGGGTATGGTGGTATATTTTCACTGAAGCTTTGAAGATAATGGGGCAGGGGGCAGCAAACATAAGCTATAGCTGTAGCCTTACTGAAGGAGGTGGGTTTAACCCAAGTTCTCCTAAATGCTCCCTGAAAATGGTAAACACAGAGTGCTTGCCGAGCTTGTGTGAGGCCTTGGATTCAATCCTGGCACCACTCTTCATCATCATCATCATCTGGCCGGGCGTTGCACACCTGTAATTCCTGCACTCAGGAGGCTGAGGCAGGAGGATTGCCGCAAGTTCAAAGCCAGCCTGGGCTACATAGTGAGTTCAAGGCCAGCCTAAACTGCATAGTGAGACCCTGTCTCAATAACAACAATAATTTTCCCTTAAAAGCTCTCAAAAGCACTCTGAACTCTAAACAATACTCAATTCCTCCATCTCTTCATAACAACTGTAAATTAAAGTGTGATTGTAAAATGTTCCAGTGATAAATACACCACTGGTCAACTTTGAGGACCAAATACACAGCATGACTCAGAAAAGTGCCTTTTTTCTATGCTATTTAGAGAAGGTAGACATTTGAATTTCAAAGATGTCTCTTTTATAAACCAGCAACCGGCATGCATAAAACTTTTATATACACACACATATATATTATATATATATATTATGTTGCTACAACAGTCACTGTCTTAACCTGAAATTTTCCCAGGATATTCCTTTCCTAGTAAGGCAACACCCTGAAAATGTATCCTTCCCTTGACTATTCAGAGGATCCCCTACCAAACTTACCTAATTTGGTCTTCTTTATCTGGTAGGCTTCAAAGAGGACCTGGAGCTCCTGGTACTTCTGAGTCAGATGCGCCTTCTGGGTGTCCAGCTGAGGCTGATACAGGAGGTTCCCCTCCGCCAGGCTCCGGTTGCTGGCAAGCGTCATCTCTTTGCTCAGCTGAACAGCCTGCGCCTGCAAGAGAGCCCGAGTGTGTTAGCTTGTGGGTTCCCAGCCCAGAGCCCGCTGGCTCGCCGCTCCCAGGCCACACCACCTCCAGGGCAGAGGCTGCACGGGACCGCATCCCGCTCACATCCCACTCGCTCAGCCCCCTTCCCCACTGTTTCCAGGGTGTGCTTGGTCCTAGAGCTCTGTACAGAGCCCCCAGACAGTGGCTACGCTGTTACTGGAAGCTTTAACGTGGCCACTGTCTTGCAAGGAAGCAGCTGTAGGCACAGGGCTGGGCTAAAGAACTGCTCTTCCCAGAGGGGACCCGCTGCCGGGTCAGGCAGGCTTCACCATCCAGCTCCAACGGCACGGCCAGCAGGGAGCCCCGACAGTGCAGCGTGCGGGTCCGCACCATGAGCCACGCGGACCCCAACAGTGGCTTATTGTGCCCAGCGGAGGAGGCTGCACTGTCTCCTCCAGTGGCGATGACAGGCTACTTGGTAGGTAAAGGAGAACATGGGCACAGACCCAGGGAGAGGAACGCTTCAGAGCTCTGAGAAATAGCTGAGGGCAAAACGCAGCCCAAGAGTATTTAAAGACAAAAGCCCAACACATCTGGACTCAAGCTTCCTTTCTGTCCACTGTGGTCCTCTCTGCCTTCTGCACTTCAGTGCCTCTGAGGAGCAGTGAAGCTCAGCCAGCACCAGCGGGCTCTCCACGGAGCTCCCTCCCAACCCCAGCCATCGTGGCCTCCGACACTGCCCCCCGCTGCCCCATTTCTCTCTGCTACTACTCCCTTCCATGCAGTAGTTTGGAGCCGTTCCTCCCTCCTGCACCACCCACCATATCTTTTACTGCTCGTGCCTAGTTCCCAGCACGCGGGCACACAGAGCACGGAGACCGAGGGGAAGCCTGGGGTCAATCAGGTGCTCCCTAGCCAGCCAGCAGACACAGCTGTATCCCAGACAACCCCCGGCCATGGCCCCAAACATTAGGGTCAGTTTAAAATTGAAAGGTAAATCTCCAACTCAATATTATAAAAGGTCGGGCCAGGGATTTAGCTCAGTGGTTCCGCTGCCTGCCTCGCAAGCGCAAGATCCCGAGTTTGATCCCTGGTTGGTACCAAAAAAAAAAAAAAAAAATTATAAAAAGTAGGAACATCCTCAAAATTAGGGCAGCAGAAATATTCCCCTCTCTTCCTGCTGCTTTTATTATTTATTTCATTTTGTTTATTTTTGGTACCGGGGATCAAACTCAGGACCTCACGCTTGCCAGGCAGGCGCTGTGCTGCTGAGCTAAATCATTCCCAGCCCCTTATTATTTTTGAGACAGGGTCTCACACTATGAACCCCAGGCTGGCCCTGAGCTTGTGGCAATCCTCCGGCCACAGGCTCCCAATAGGTAGTGCCACCACACCTGGCTCTGCTGCTTTTTTTTTTTTCTCCTTCCGTACCAGGGATCGGAAGTCTTTTTGTTCTTTTATTAATTTTTTCTGTACCAGGGATCAAACTCAGGACCTTGCAATGGCAAGGCAGGTGCGGCACCACTGAGCTAAATCCCCGGCTCGGGCTCTGCTGCTTCAAGCAAGCAGAGAAACTCTTGGCACTGGAAAGACCTAGTTTAACATTGGTTCCTGGAGCTCCCTAGATCCACCACAGTTCCAAGCTCTGCTCTCTAGGGGTTTTAGATCCCGAAGTCCTGCAGAAGAGTATGTCATTCAACTGTTAGGCCATATAAAAGAATAAACAAAAATAAACCACTGTACAGCCACTCTGGAAAACAGATGCCATTTCCTTATACAACTAAACATGTAGCCTTCCTATAACCCAGCAACTGTATTCTCAGAAATTTATCTCAGAGTAACTTACATTAGCAGAAAAACCTACACAAGAATGTTATGGCTTGTGTCTAAAGGTCCCCCAAAGCCCCTTGCGCTCATAGGTGAGGCTTTCAGAGGTGGCTGGATCTAGGGTGTGTGGATGTGGCTTAAGGGTGTGTGATAAGTAAATTACTCCACTGATTGGTTCAGCATAGTTCTGGGTGTGGACAATGGGAAGGCCTACCCCAGGTATGGGTGGCACCAACCAGCAGGCCTGTAGCCTGGATGGGATAAAAGGGAAAGGAAGGCTCCATGCTGCTACAGCTTCCTGTTTACCCTGCCATGGACTGTTTCTCCTCTGCCATGCCCCCTGTCTTGGAGCCAGCCAATTACAGACTGAACCTCTACAAACTGTGAGCTAAAATAAACTTTTCCTCCCTTGTGGGTGTAAGGTATTGTGTCTCAGTGACAGGAAAGTGACTAAGGCACATGTTCTGAGCAGCTGTTGTACAGTCCAAATCCTGATTCAGCCAAGTATCTCTCACCAGGTGAACAGGCACAACATCCATACTACCCAGCAACGAAAAAGAGTACACTACCAATAGATACAGCTCAAAGCCCCAGGGGATGGGGATTACACTGAGTAAAAATAGCTGACCCCAGGATGGGGATTTAGCTCAGTGGTTCAGGTGCCTCTCAAGCCCAAGCCCAAGGTCGGGAGTTTGATGCCCTGGTACCAAAAAAATTAAAAACAAACAACAAAACAAAACAATAGCTGATCCCAAAGGGCCACACCCTCCATGACTCCAAACACGAAATATTCTCAAATAACAAAATAACAAAAACAGACAGCAGATTTTCTCCCCTCTGACCAGGAGCTGCACCTCTGCTGGGTGGGGCACAGTGAGACAGCACACAGCAGCCCCTCGGCAGGGACCTGCTCAGATCAGATCTGCTGCCGATTGGCCAAAAAAGGCCAAAACTCCTCTGAGGCCAAGTCTGGCAAGAAAAGGTGGCTAACAAAATACAGAGTAAGAGTGAGCGGGGTTGGTCAAGGAGTAAGTGCCTCCAATCCTTAAGCAACAGACAGGCTCCCCAGTGACATCGTTTGAGACTGAGTCTGTTGTCAGGGTTTATAGGGCCCCTCACTGGATGTTAGATAATTCCAAAAGCAAATTTCCCAGAAAGTCCTAGGCGCAGGAGCACTGTGAGTGCACGTCTCCCCAGGTGATCCCTGGAAAGGCAGCAACACTCAAGTGCTGAAGCCCAGTACTGTGCAGCAATGGTCCCACTCCAGCTGCCCATCAGAGTCCCGGGGTTGGACCCAGGGAGGGCTGAGCTACACGCCATGCCACTCCACTGTATTTTAGACAGGTCCTCCCTAAGCTGCCCAGGATGGTCTCGAACTTGCAATCTCCTGCCTCAGCCTCCCAAGTAGCTGGGATTACAGGTAGGCAACACCATGCCTGACTAGAATAACTGGGAGTGGGGGTGAGGTGGGGGGATGAGGTGTTAAAAACCCAATGCTTGCCTAGTGCGTGTGAGGCCCTGGACTCAACCCCACATACTGCCAAATCAAAATACTGTGAACCCCAATTCCCTGACCAACCTAACCCCCTCCAGCTATCTACGAGGGGGTGGCAGGTATGAACACTTCAACTTCCCCGATGATTCCAGCGTGCAGCTAAGCTGAAAGCCACTGCTTCAGTCTCACTGCATCTATTCCCATGTGATATAAATCATCTGTCCTACATATTGTAAAGTCCTGTAAGAGAGGAACACAGGGAAGCTCAGGCTATAACCAAAAGCCAATTCATCTCCACAGGAAACAAAGCCAAAGTGTACAGCCAGCAAAGAGGTCACATAAAACTCCGTGACATCTAAAGACTTAGAATGGTTGGGATTCTTATATCCTTTGGTCGTTCAGATGTTTCCCTGTGAATAAACATCAGAAATTCCAAATGGCCACCCCAACATCCCCACAGCACCCTCTCAGGCAGATGAGGGCAGCAGGGCCAGGGGCCAGGGAGTGTGTGCTGAGGTGAGTGAAGCTTCCTTTCTCGAGCAGTGGACAGGCTCTTCCATACTCCGAGGCCCTGAACTCTCTGATGCTGCATTACCTGTGCTGCTCCTCAAGAGCCCTTTCTGCTGTCCCAACTGAGGAACAAGGGGAGGAAACATCCAGCCCCACTCTGCAAAGCGAAGGCCACCTGGCTTGGAAGGAGCAGAGCCGCCCCCACAGACCACAGGCTGTGGGGAAATCTGCCCGGTGGCTGTGTGACGGCATAGACAGGGCCTCTGTGTCTTTAGAATAAAAAGAACAAGAATCATAAGGTGCTCGGGTCCTCTCTCCATGGCAGGTGCCACCAAATAATCTGAAATCCACAACAGCGGTGCCAATCTCTTGATCTTTCTTATGATCCTTTTTTCTTAACCATAAAGAAATCTTTTCAGGAAATAATTTCTCTGTGGTAAAGAAACATTTTAAAAATGCACTCAGTTTCATTTGTTTCCATTTTTTTCTCAAGGAAAATGAGATGCACGAGTGCCACATGCAGCAAGACCCATTCGTGTGAAGCTATTTCTGCCAGCTGTCTGTCCTGGGTGCAGAGCGCCGTCTGGAAGCAGGCAAGCCCAGCAAGGCAGGATCCTGGCCCTTTCAGTCTTCCCACTTTCACCACCAATGTGCAGGGTATTAGTGTGGTGGAAAGGGCAGGTGTTCTTGAAAAACAAACTGCCTTTCTTTGTTTTAAAAATAAAAATATTATCTTTTACTTGTCTAAGTCAGAAATGTGGGTATCCCTTTATCTCTCAGAACACATTTATCTCGCGCGTGTGTGTGTGTGTGTGTGTATGTTACTGGAGAGATTAAACTCACAGTTCTGCACATGCTAGGCAAGCGCTGAGCTATATACCTACCCCCAACCCGCCCCCCTTTTTTTTGGTACCAGGGATGGAACTCGGGACCTTGAGCTTACGAGGCAGTGGAACCACTGAGCTAAATCCCCGGCCACAACCCCAGCCCGTTTTAAAACAGGGTCTCATTAAGTTGCCAAGGCTGATCTCAAACTCTCGATCCTCTTGCCTCAGCCTCCTGAATAACTAGGATTATAAGTGCACACTACCACACTCAGTTCCAGTATGTATTTATTTTGGCTGGGGGAATATAGGAGAAAATAAACTCAATAAGAAAACATAAAAATTTTCC